TCACCTAAGTTAAAATAATATTTTCTTAAGTATAGATTTTGAAAAATAGCAAATATGCGCCGTTTTGTTCGTAAACTTGTTAACAACGGGAAGCCAACTTCATTATACCCCTCTCGTTGAAGGCTGCGTCCCTATTGGCAAAAAACTCGGAGAGCCTATTTCCCCAGACTTCTCTTGAGGCCGACTTCTCACCATTAAGCGCGTTCGCCATGGACAGCGGTCCATTTTTTGGCAGTAGAGGGCCGAATTGAGCTTGCTCCCTAGGGGAGCAGCTCGTTGAAGATGATTCCTTTCCAATACCACCAAACACACAGCAAAACCTTCCTGGACGTCAATTCGGTCTTGGTTACCGTCTGGGCCTCTTTCCCGGGCTTTCACCACGACCGTTTGCACTTGATGTTGTCGTAAGTGACCCATTTTTCATCGCCAGTCACAATCCGCTTCGGAAACGTGTCGATTTTGTCCATCTTGTTTCTTTTTGCGTTAGTTCGTGTGGCATCCAAACATAGAGCTTCTTTTCGAGTCCAAGGTTATGCAACTGGTTCCAAACGGTTTTCTGACTTATATTTAGTTCAGCAATTAAATAAGTGCTTACGCGACAGGCCTCCCGACGCGTGGTGCATCTTTGACATCGAAATTACCGGAACGGAACCTAGCAAACCACTTTTGTGCTACAAGTTCGTTTACAGAATCAGACCCATAAACTAAATTAATTTTTTTCAGTCGCTTTGGCTGCCTTTTCGCCTTGTTCGAAGAAAAAATTTTAAAATATAGCGAATTTTCTCTTTGACGAGCGCTCACAACGTACTGAGTCAATCAATCGATAAACTGTCAAAGACAAACTTTTAGCGCGAATAAATACGTTTTATCCGCCGTATTGTATGACAAAAAATTAGAGTTCCAAAATCCCAGAGTGGTTTTACCTCTTAAATGAGGTTATCGAGTTCATTAGACAAATATTTTCTTCTCTATGCCAAATTTACAGAGATGCGGTGTTCCTGTCTATTGAATTTTTCCAACGGAGTGCAGAGCTGGAGTCTTTTCGCTCCATTTCACTTTTCATCTCAAAACATCAACGCCAATATTCGGTAGCACACGCATGAAGAAGCGTTCTTAGAGTTCGAGGAAGGATGGTTTTTCTGACTAGGTATCACTTATTCATAGAAATGATTATACGTTAGAGTGTAAAACTGAAATTTATGATTGTGGGTCTCAGTGGAGCTTCTTATATGAATTCTGTATGATAAGCTGGTGCTTGTATTATTACATTTTTCATCGGAGTAAATTTAATATAAGTGGGACCTTCATTGTCGATTTCAAAAAGAGAGGCCGTCAAAGGGGAATATTTTATTCAACTATTACCAAACCATCAGCCGTTCGGAGGTGGTTTCGTATAAACGCAAGATGCAAAACCACAAATTGGAGGAGGGCTTGGACAAAAATATTCATCTAAGTTTTATACTGTTATGTCCGAGCAAACATCATTGGCTTATATTAACTTTGACCGGGTCACACTGAACTCGTCAATCTGATAGACGTATAATCTATTAGATCGCAAAGTTGTTACGATATATCCTTTGTCCCTCTTGTGCTGCTGCTGACTATGCAATTGTACTACGACTTTCCAACGGAGTGTGGATATTTTCTTGCAATTTTGTCCTAGTTGATGAAATATGCACATCCCGAAAAAGAGTTGAAATCTTTAGCTACCCCTTTCGCCAGTTAGGCGAAGGAGTCCAAGCCCGAACTCGATGTGAAGATCGATGGCGTCCAAATTACGACCATAAAAAACCCAAAGTTACTGGGAGCCATATTTTACAGCCTGCACTCCTTCAATGCTCGCAAAGCTCCAGAGCCTCAACAAAATCACTTGGGGGAAAAGCAGTTGAGGAAAAGGCAAATAAACTTTGCTGGCAACTTACAAAGCAATTGGCCCGGCGGTCGTTAACTATGCTGCACCTATCTGGGCACCGGGGATCAAACGAAGCTAGTTGACGAAGCTACAGGTCTGCCATAACATTGCCTTTAGGACCGCGATAGTAAACATTCTGATGTCGCCTGAGTACCACTTGCGCGAGTTAAGGACCATAATGCTTTGCTGTGCAAGCAAGTCCTGTTGGGTTGCTAGCTCAGGGAAAGCCCCAACAGACAGCTAATAGTGGCAGAACCTCCATCCATGCACATCAGAAAGTGTGTACTCTATATAAGGCACATATACCAGCAATATGTCGGCAAAAACCGTTGGACAGGACGGCGCATAGACAGGCTCTAAATGCCATTCACCAGGAGTTAGTCTACACTTTCAAGAACCACCCATAGTAGATGAAGAGCTCGAGCTACCTCGAGAGATCCGCGTAATACTGGCGCAACTTAGGTCTGAATATTGTAGTAGGGTAAACTCCTAATTCCTCGAAATTTTGTACAACTTCAAAGATCGGGTTGTCTATTTAAACACGCGAGGTCAGACGCATGTGCGCCGTTTGTTTAACGATGGAAGATATTTCAACTTCCCTCGTTCACTCCCAGACCCATATCGCTTTATTTTTGAGTTTAGTGAAAACATAACTAATAGCGCTGGGATATCAATTCATTGGCATTGAGCAGGCGTTTTAGTCCTACAATAACCGGCCATGATTGCATCCGATCACATTTTGTATGTCCCTTATCAGTTCTTAGCCGCAGCAATTGAGTAGCTTGGCTGGCAGTCCATCGGTCTCCGCCGCTTTGTGGTTTTTCAAGCTGTTGTTATGAAAGGACTTCATAGTCAGGCAATGAAACATCTGTTCCATCGTCATCGATTGGGAAATCTGATTCGCCTTCGCCTGGTGTTTCAATTTCACCGCCATTGAGCAGGCTGGAGAAGTGTTCCCACCAAAAAATTCAGTATACTCTGGGCATCAGTAGCCAGATCACTTCTCCTGGTCCCACAAGAGATAAGGTAGACTTGCATTAGGCTAAAGACGTCACAAAGAACCACATTTTCCGAAACCTTATGTAAGACCGAACCGTTCGTTGAGGCTCTTTCCGATTCTGTCTGATTCTAACAGTTTTAAAAACGAAACGGAGTTGGTATTTGGTGATTTTTGTAATTAATCTACTGAATTTGAAGCCACCGATCAATCCTTGAAATACAAATTCTATTAATTTAAATATTCATTACCTAACGAGTATGCAAAGGTTCAATGACACTTAAATGCAATGAAATAAACTAAAGCATAAAAATAGTAAAGTAAAACCCACAAAAGTGAAAGTTAATTTAATGTGGTACATATGTATGCACATATGTATATAACGCCTGGATATCAGATTTCCTAGCAGCATACCATAAGTAAGGTTTCAACATTCACATTGGTTGCAATGCAAAAACTTCAACCAGTTGAATTGAGAGTGCATGGTATCATTAGGCCTTTGGTTATGTGTAATCCCCATGTACACATGTATGTATGTATATGCATAAATAGAGATATCCATTTCGTGGTTTCAAAAATACAAGACTGTATTTTGCAATCTATCAAACTCAACTGTCATACTACACATGTTTTGTTTCAGTTAATTGTGGATTGTTTACCAACCACACAACGCGTTAAAATTGTAAAAACTTACTAAAGAAAAGGTGGGCACGTATCGTGCTTTAAGAGGAGATTATGGCGCACATAATGGTAAAATGTTAAAGAAATTTAAAGAGAGTGGATCGGTTACAGATAATGTAAGGCCTGTGTATAATTGTTTTGTTCGTTCCACCGAACGTAACTGTAAGTGAAAGTGTAGCCAAAGACCCGACGCAATCGGGCTTTCTTGGGACAAGAGTAATTTTGTACTTGGACGTGCACCAACATCCATATAAAGTCTAGTTCACACAGCTACTGAAGCCAGCCAACCATTCACAATGACGTGACGGCGGTTTTTCGAACAAAATTTTCTACAGCGACGAAGCACATACGTACATATATATACAAAATTGGCGCTTTATAATCGCTGAAGCGGTTTTCGGTTGGGTTTCTCCTCTAATTTGTGGTATAGGTCTTGATGTTTTTAGAACAAATGGAGCGACCTACAGTTTATTTTGAGCCGCCTTCGAAAGGTCAAAGGATTTTTATGAGGGGCTTTTATTTCTTGTTCGAAACGCACTCCAAAGCTTTGGCATTCCCTGCCGAGAGGCGACCGCATTAGAAAAATTAATTTTCTATAACTTTGGATGTTGGTCGATTCAGAGGTCGAAGCCTGATCTTTAGAATGGCAATCGCAATACTAATAACTCGGTTATTGCGGCCACAGGGAATACGTGTATATGTAAAATTGTTGTATTTGGTGCTCCGAGAATTATCATATGAAAGAAGGTCGGAGGTGTGACTGGACCTTACTCCTTTGAAACGACTGTCACTGCCAACGCGACCTGCTATTGAAAAACACGATTTGGACAATATGTGGTTTCAACAAGATGATGTCACATGTCACAAAACAAGAGCGAGTATGGATTTATTCCGAGAGAAACTTCCCGGTCGCGCAAACTTTCGTCTTGGCGATGTCGATGGACCACCGAGATCGTGCGATTTGACAGCCTCGCACTTTTTGTGTGAGGATACGCGAAAAACCGTGTTTATGCGGATGAACCTTTAAGTCTTGAACACTTGACAATCAACATTGGTCAAGTTATGGCTGAGGCACCACTCAATATGTGCCAATAAGTAGTCGAAAAATAACACAAACTTATCGACGTTTGCCGAAATTCGCAAGACTGTCGTTTGAATGTTGCAGTGTTTCACATATAATTTCAAGTACCAAATTTTATAATAAAAAAAAAAAAATTCAGGAAAAAATTATTTAAAAGAGGTATTTCATTGAACACGAATATTACCGCCGTCTTCGTCTCCGTCTCCGATTTTAAAAGTCATACTATCATATGTAGGAGTATTTCTTATGCATTTGTTTTAAACGCACAACTTTTTAAAATCTCATACGCGAAGTTATTTCTGGAATTAACATAATCGCCTAATTTACAGATTGTCCGAAGACGAAGTCGACGAGCACGTATGTGGAATATGGGACTATTGTTCCTCATATACTATTGTGTGGCCGTGTATTCAGCGAAGAGTGAGGACAACAAGGATGGTATGTTAAACTCTGCAAATTTACAAGAAGAAGGTGATGGAACATTGGGTGACGCCGGTGGTAATGGAGCTTCAGAGAATGAGCCCTCAGACACAGATGAGATGGATAGCACACTGAGAACCATAACTACACCGGAGGTAAGTGTTTTAGTTTTATTTAATGGTTATCTTTGTATAAGCTAATATGAACCAATTAATTTGTAGAGCATCTTAGCGACGACCGAAGAGACACACGCTGCACCCAAACACGCTGTGCCCACTTGGCGACCAAAACGAAATTGTACACCACCCGCCATCGAACAGTTTCCTCAACCATTAATGGGTAAATGGGCACGTCAACATGGTGGACTCATCATTCATATACTCGTTGCCGTATTTACATTCTTCGGTTTGGCCATTGTGTGTGATGAATACTTTGTTGCCAGCTTAGATCGGCTGTGTGAAGGTACAAGAACTTTGTAAATTATTTTGTAGCCCATCTTCCACGATTTTGTTCTATTCTCTTTGTAGAACTCAAACTGTCACCCGATGTAGCGGGCGCTACTTTTATGGCGGCTGGTAGTTCAGCACCTGAGCTAGCTACTGTAGTCATTGGTGTGTTCTTTGCCCAGGACGACATCGGTATAAGCGGTGTTATTGGTTCAGCGGTTTTCAATATTATGTTCGTGATATCGGTTTGTGCTCTCTGCTCTGGAACTGTTTGCCAACTGAATTGGTGGCCATTGGTGCGCGATTGCTTCTTCTATAGTCTCTCCATTCTGGTGATGTTGATTATCATTTTCAATGATGTTATCTCATGTGTAAGTGGAAATATTATATTTGTTTATCTTTGATTGTAATCTGGCAGGAAATTTTCAGGAGCTTGCGTTATATTTTCGAAACTTTTTGTAACTTATATAAATAAATTTATAAAATTGGCGCTTTGTAACCGCTGGAGCGTTTTTCCGCTGAGCTTCTCTTCTAATTTGTGGTTTTGCGTCTTGATGTTTTTCCAATGAAATTTAAGGACCTACAGTTTATACTAAGCCGCCACCGAACGGTTGATGGTTTTTTTTTCATGTCAGGAATACACCCGGAGGGGTTGACATTCCCTGCCGAGGAACGAACGCAATTAAAAAATTTAGCTTATTTTTTTATTTAAATTAATTTTCTTTAACTTTTGGATGTTGGTCGTACCAGGACTTGTGCCCTGGCCTTCTGAATACCAGTACACAGTATTAACCACTCGGCTACCGCGCACTCGTGCTTAGTCAGGATTAATTTGGAGATCCTCCCTCATCACTTTAACTTTACTTCGGACTAAATCTTGGGCGCGCTTTCCTGACACTAATTGAATATTCTCGTAGCGAGATTCAGATCTCTAAACCAAGCATTTCAGTATTCGATACAGTGACCGTAGGTCACTTGAGTTCAGGGAGATCTAGACAAAGATCTAAGATCTAAGGTTAGGTGCTTAAACAATAACCAGTAAGAAGCTTCATAGTTTTCTCACCAGCATCTTATGAAATCGAACCATTAATGGAAAAAAACTGTCTCTTCCTTATCTTGCTTCCTTTAATGTTAACGCTCGCTTCATTCTAAACTTCTGCTCACCATGAGTATTTCAGAATATCTTGACAAGCTATTTTTATTACATATTTGTATTGTCTCCATATTTTCCACGCGTTAAATTTTAATCGAATATTTTCAATTTCCAGTACGAATCCGTCTTCATGCTACTCTGTTATGTGGGATATTGTGTGGCTCTACATTTCAATACGGAGCTCGAGCGATGGGCTTTATCTTTAAATTTACCATTCAAGCTGCCAACAAAGGAGGAACAATCATCGCTGGTCACATACAAGAATATGCCCGATAATTCATATACCCAAGGGGGCTCACAACAACAACAGCAGCAGCAAACAAGTCTTACACAGGATGGCGCATCTGGTTCGCAACAACAACAATCGACTAGTGAATACCAAAGTTACGGTGATCCGAATGCTAGTTGGGATCCGAACGCCGCCTGGGGCGAAGAACCGTCGACAAATCCAGTGGGAGTCAGTGTTAGATACGGCCAACCGCCAGGCGAAGATGATTGGGGCACAAATACATTCTACACCTCAGGTCCCGGTCATGGAGCTGATAATATGGCATATAATCCCGATCAACCAGACGCAGTCGTAACCCAACAAAACAATACAAATGGTGATGGTAGCAAACCGGCGGTCGGTAAACCACAACCAGCTGCTGGTGTTGAGTATTATAAATCGTCTGATAGAGCGAAAGAGGCACGCCCCAATCCATTGGATCGTCCCACGGAAGGCGGTCTGCCAACACTGATCGCCTGGTATGTCGTCTATCCCATACATTATTTATGCCAGAAAACAATGCCAGATTGTCGCACCGAAAAATACCGTAATTGGTATCCATTCACATTTATTGTATCGATGATATGGATCTCGTTCTATTCATATTTTATGGTTTGGATGATAACCGTGATTGGTTCGACCTTAGCCATACCAGACACGGTTATGGGATTGACATTTGTTGCTGCTGGTGTATCTGTACCCGATGCCCTAAGCTCAATAGCGGTTATCAAAGAAGGCTTCGGCGATATGGCCGTATCGAATGCGATCGGCTCGAATGTCTTTGATATCCTAGTGTGCTTAGGTCTTCCGTGGTTTATACAAACGGCCATAATAAAGCCTGGTTCGCACGTCAATGTCATCTCGAAAGGTATGTATTCGCATAAGAGGCATTTAATACTCACATGCCTGTATGTGTATGTGTTCGATTAGCATATATGTATGTAAGTACATATTTATTTAAGCTATATGCATAAGTGTGTACTTATAAACGTATATGTACTACCATTTAAGTACATAACATAAAACGAATTCGTTGCTGGAGTGATGATTTTAAGGTCAGGATTATGCATATGTATGTATGTAATACATTTGTTTTGTAACTAAAGCATATTTTTGTATGTATTAGTAATAATTAATTACATAATAATACACGTGACTTTATATGCGCACACTTGAGTAGATTTGCATTTCGTAACATACTTATGTACATATCTATTTGTATGTATGTATATACAATTTGAGCATTTTTTACGGCCTAGAAAATATTTACACTTTTAACACGTTGCAGTTTGATCGTTTTTTCATTGTTAATAATTAAAAAGACACTCAACAAATTATCACAAAAGCACAACTCAATATAATAATTTATATTGTACACTCAACACTTTTCTTTGAATAAAATACTTTCACTCTCTTGCTGCATTTAATATTTTTAATGAACGCATAATCACAGAATGTAGTATTTCCCAATGGTTCAATGTTTAATAGGAAATTTTATAATTAATTATTCATATTAGTATTGATGTAATTTCATTGATTTATCTACTCAGAATTTGACAAAATATTCAAAAAATATGTTTAATATTGATCAGTACATATCTTTAACCGTAAAATTATATTTGTTTACAATATTGAACCCCTTTAACTAATAAAATACATATTTATAAAAATAAAACTTTTCTCGTCTAAACATAAAGTGCCCAAAACGAATTTATTATAGGAAATATAATATCATGATCATGAAATATTATCTTTAGTCCAAAAAGAGAAGAAATAAACCTTTCAATATTTATACAGATATGATCAGAATGACGAGTTTAGTTTGTCCGTCTATTTGTTCGAAAACTAGTTCCTCAGATTTTGAGATACTCGTATTTCAACCAAACTTGGTATTGAGATGCATTCGTGCACTTAAACGATCATTTGTCGTAATCAGTAAGATCGTCGCTTTGATACCGAAAATCATCGAGAACGAAAAACGTTATTATGAAATCCCCTCCAACGAATATTCCAGATATGAGAATTAATATTTAATCCCAAAATGGAATACCATAAATTTGATTTGATCGTGAAAGGTGTAAAGACTTTGGCATGGCCTAAGGCAACTCTTCTTTCTTGATTTAAGTGAAATAAAGCGTTGCTCCTCTTATAATTTATGGCATGTGTTTTGTTGGGTTTAAAAAAAATTTCGATTATACTATTTTCTCTAAGCCACCTCCGAAAGGCTGATGGGTTTTTATGAGAAGGTTTATGTTCCAAATACACTCGGAGGGGTCGATATTCCCTGCCGAGGGGCGCCCGCAATTAGAAAATTTAGCTTAATTTTTTATTTAAATTAATTTTCCATAACTTTTGGATATTGGTGGTACCGTGATGTGTTATTAATAATGGAAAGCCATATCAGCCGAATGGCCACAACGGCTAAGCTTATAGGACCGTGTTCTTTATATAAAATTTTCGGATTACATCTTTGAGGTCTTAAGTGGACGTTGGTTGAACTGTTGACGTAGATCTTATCTCTCACTTGGTTCCAAAGGAAGATCTCGGGGGCCAATTGTCATCACCTCTTCGAGAGATAACACGGTTCGGAAACTTTTCCCTTAAAATATCCATGGTTTTATTGCTGGTGTGGCACGTAGAGAGCGCTCTTGTTGAATGGAAACGAGCATAAAAAATCGGTAATCACTTCTCGATAATTTTTGAAAAAGTAAGGTCCAATTATCCTGCCGAACCATAAACTTCACTTCTAATTCCTATTGGAAATTTCTCTATCTTGGTTTCGGTTATGTCAAAAGATACCTTTAAATCGGTCTATTCCTTAGCTTTTTCATGGCAAAGTGGGCTCCGTCGGCTAGTCGGGTGCACAGATAATGGATATGTCGAGTTGTGCTGCAAGCGGACCTTCATACAATTGTTGACGATGCCGGACTTGACCACCTGAAGAAAGCGCTGCTTTCTATATCCTATTGTAGTTTTTTATTTTTGCTTTGCAAACCCATTTTCTTTTTGGTACTTCCGCTTGGCAGATGCTAGCTGTGTTTGGGAGATAAGGTTTTTAGATCTTCGGATCACACCTTCACACTAACCTCAGAGTTAAAATTAGGCTCGTCGCTGTAGATTTGTGAGCTTGAAAGCATCTAGTAATGTCTAAACTTGTTTTACTAAGCGATATTGGGAGTAGGCTCCGGATATTACTGTATTCAAATTGACTCTGGTTCAAGCAATCCAGTTACTAAAATTTTCTCGTGGAACCTGCTGTGACTTTGTTATTATACAATATGTATGAAGTTATTCAATTACTTCGGGCAAGTGAGCGCCACGGTTGGCTCACTCGAATAAATGCCAGCCGAGAGACTTAATTTTCGACCACTTTTTTCAGCAATTGGGGCCGTATTTCAGCAATAAGGCGCATAAACTTCCAATACCCCATGGACCAGAGTTATTATAATGATGGCTGCAGGCAACCACATATATTTGCATATTTCATTTAATCAAAATTTAATTCTAAAACTTGACAATCCAAATTAAATCTGATTTGCTGAAGTCAAAATGATTTTTTAAAAAATATTTTTTTGACATCCATCTTTAAAGCCTGAAGTTCAAGTTTTCTCTAACAATAATTTCAACTTACAGCCAAAATATAATTGTTCAAAACAAAAATTCGTTGTAGAAACTTTTAAGTTATTCTTTTGGATTAACAACAATTTACTGTAATGCCTTTAACTTAGCACTAATTTGAGCAGAATTTTTTATACTTCACAGTAGTTTTTATTGCTAATTATAAGTTTTTTCTTAAATTTTCTAAATTTGTATTTAGATTATTCTAGTTTGTTACAGCCATACTATTATTCATATAAATGCATAGGACTGATACTTCATTTTTAATAAATTTTCCAATTGCCTATCATCCACAGGCTTGGCCTACTCTACGCTCTCCCTCTTCTCGACGGTTATCTTTCTGATTCTATCCACACATTTGAACGGCTGGAAGTTGGATAAGCGACTTGGCATTATACTGATGATTTGGTATCTATGCTTTATAACATTGGCCTCATTGTATGAATTGAATGTATTTGGCTACATGAACCCACCGGAATGCGCCAGTAAATATTAGAATATAAATTTACATTATTATATTTAACGAATAAAAATATTTTTCCATTATTTTCAGGTGAATATTAAATTAAAAACAAATGAAATATGGCTGTTATAATGAATACGAAAATAACAAATATAAGAAGCAAGCTTAAAACACACACACACACACACAAATTTGAAAAGCATGAATTCAAAGGACTATGCTATAGCAGTGCACACATTAGGCTATGTGTGTATAATCGATTATTATTCGAAATAAATATAAGTTAAATATTTATAAATAATTGGGTCAGAAAGAAATAAAATTGCAACTAACAAGTAACTGTCACTATCAGCATTACATATATACATATAAAATTGCATATTCACATATATTAATATAAAAAATAAACTCTTACATTTTCCAGGCGTCGATCATTGTTGCTCACGTGACCCACTCGTGTGCTTTACGCAGCTAAACTTCCATTGGTTGCTGTTACATTGCCAGGCAGGCGGCTGTGTGTTGGCGAAGCTGGACAAATGCATTTGTTAAGTTTATTCCACATTTTGATCTCTCGTCTTCTCTACTATAATCTTCAATCAACCATAAACAAGTGACAAACCAAAGAATCACGTTTACGTACATACATGCATACATACATACATACATATACGTACGATGTATACGATGTCGTATTCCATAATAAAGCGATTTTACAAACGACTCCAAGCTCCATTACGCTCATATCTCATTGCATACCAGTCCATACTGGAAAGCTGTTTACAAATTGAAAAATGCAAAAGAAAACATACATCTAAACTGATATTTATTTATTTATGGCTGCTGCAGCAGAGTGTCAAATGACTAAATATTATCAATTAACGTAGCTGAGGGCGGCTTTCAGCGCATAGAAAGTGTCTCTGATAAGAGATGTTTGGATGCAGCTGAAGTATGTAATTTTGGCGATGATGTGTGACTACACAAGAAAAATAAATGAAATGCTAAAAATCTCATTATTTGTGAAAATGATTTGTTTTTGTTTGTACTTTGTATTATTTACTTATACAAAAATCATACGTTTCAACCTCGTTTTACTACAATGTAAAAATATGTATGTATGTATGTCACATAATTGATAATGAGAAACTTCCAGGTATAGCAAAACATACATACATTATATAGACGACAGCATGAAATCAATATAATGAAAATAGTATAATAATAAAATAGTTAAAACTCAAAAACTGAAAAACTGAAGAATTGTAACGAAAATTTAGCGTATACCATTAGCACGGCACCATATTTACAACAACATTTTAATATACAAAACCAAAAAAAAGCAAAAAAAAATACAAATCGTAAAATAAAATGTTAGTACATACGTTTTTACATCGCACGAAGCAACAAGTTATAACTGAAAAATATACTCGTATGTAATCATATGTGTTGTACATATACAAATATTAAAAAAAAAAATATTAACTATAATATTATATATGTACTTAAAAGAAAATGTCTAAAACAAAGTTTAACATTATAACTGTTGGAACTGTGCTGTTTTTAAGATTTCACAATTTTTTTAAGTTTTTCCAAAAACTAAAAATTAACTTTTTGTTTACAAAATTTTATTTTGCGAGCAAATACAAAATACGCATACCTATGAGGTATTGATTTAAAAACAGTTACTATCGTTTTTATAATTTCCTTTTTGTAATAATAAAACAAATTTCTTAACTATTTTTTAATAATTTTTTTACAGATGAAATTTTGGTAAAAAATTCAAAAATAATTAAACTATTACATTTCTTGGTTTTTATTAATATATAAATAATTAGCTTCTATTATTTTAGTTTTAGAAAAAATTAATAAAAAATAATTAATTATTTATTATTAAAACAAAAATATGGTCGCATGCAAAAATGATTATTAAAAAATTTAATTTCGGCCAAAACCATTTCAATCAAAATTTTGCTTATATTAAAAATATCGGAAATAAAACACGCTTTTAAAACTTACGATATAGATTTCGTGTTAATGATTTCTCTTCACAAAAAATATTTAATTTCATGAATATTTTTTCATTAAACCTTGTATAAAAAAATAATAAAAATAATTAATTCCGAATTGAGAAACCTTAACGAGAGCACGGTTAATTAATAAATAATCAACTGATATAATAAAACAGTAAAGTAAATATTATTTTAAAAATATACATACATACATATATAAAAAGAAAGCAAACAACAAAATAAATAGATAAATGAAGCAAATAAACTTGCACACACACTAACAATCGTAGATAGGGCGAAATATTGAAGAAAACATACTTACAAGCGAACAAGCAAAATACTGAATAAGAAATTAAAAATTAAATATTAAAAATTAAATAATAAAAATTAATAAGATTATAGATAATAAAATATAAATAATAAATATACGTGCATATACATATTCAAGCGGTAAAAGCTCCGTAGACATTTTATTTCAAAACAATTTTAAGCGGCTTTTTATCTCTAATTCCACGTAATAAGTGTTTGTGTATATATGTAATTGCATACATACAAGCATATATTTATGAAATGCATTGCTGTACAAGCTCACAAGACAAGTTCAAGTAATGCGCGTAAGAAACGTTAAAAATTAAATATTTTAATATATTATAACTTACTAATATTTAATTAAGCAAAAAAAAATTAAAGATAATTAAAAAAATTATAAAATCTTGCTCTAAACTATAATATTATTACACTTATATTAAATATATATGTATATATATATATATTTGTTATATATTTATGGCGCTTTCAGTATTTTTTTAGCCAAGCTAAAACGGTTTAAATACGTAGGCATGTGCATATATATGTATGTATGTGCATGCAAAAATTGAGCGATATTTTAGCAAGCTTTGTGTTTTGACAATAATTCAAAGTGAAAGCATTTTTGTGGGATGATAATTTTTCTTTTCAAACTCTTTTTTTTAGTTTTAGTTATTCAATGGGTTTTTCTGAAATTCGCACACTAAAAAAACGTCTTCTGAAATAATAATAAACTAATTTCCATCGAATGATATTCAAAAACTAATGAATGGTATAAATATGCTGCATTTGTACATATATATACATATATGTATGTATAAATATATGTTAAGCAGAATCGCTCTGCTTTTTGCAAACTTTTCTAAACTTTCCTAAAAAGTCACAGGGAAAACTCTAAGCTGTTAGTTTAACCAAAAAACTAAGAGTTTCAATACTTAAAACTATAAAACTTCCTCGTGATTTAATATCGCTTTTTAACTACTTTAATAGATTATAAAAGCATAATTTCTGTTCGTTTTAAGCTCTATTGAGCTTTAAGCTTGCCACATCTCTGGCCGCCAGTACTAAATATCATAAGCGCTCAAGGCCTGCAAAATAAAATCAAAGCAAAATAAATCAGTGAAAGCTCCGTCAACAAGCGAGATGTGAAAGTTTATTATGAAGCTTTTGTGAAGAAATAATTTCATAAAAACATCTATTATACTCTTCCACTCATTTATTTTAATTTGGCATAGCGTAAATATGAAGTCTAGCATAAAATACCATAGCATAGATAGCGTATGTATTTCCACTGAAGTAAATTATGTAAGCCCCATCCATGGTTTCTTTTATCGATTTGCAGGCACGCAAAATTTAATATTTACACACAACGTATAAAGTAAAAATACGAATTTTCAAAAAAAAAAGACACAAAAAAAAAACAATTATATGTTTTCAAGTAATCCATAAAATACATAACTAAAACATGAAAATAAAAATTTATTATTGTATTTCATATGAATAATAATAAATAAATAACTGGTACACCTAAATGGACATACATACTCGTACGTTACACAGGCAACGAATTTTTAGTTAATTGTTTTTTGTACAATACAAATTTTTTAAATAAAATTTAAACTAAAAATAATGAAAAATATTTAAGCAAATGAGTATATTAAATATTTTCATTTATAAATTGAATTTGTAAAGGCGAAAAAATGAAAAGACGGTTAAGTAGAAAAGCGCTAATGCAAAATTGTCGAATGATAATACAACTATTTATGTAGTTATGTAATAAAAACACACAAAAGAAACAAAAACAAAAACAAAAAACAATTTTCTGTAGTTTTTAGTGTTGTTTGTTAGATTTCAAAACTGGTTACTACTACTACTACTACTACTACACAATTAACACAAAGAGAGATACAATATTATATAATAAATTACATGTTATTGTAATTTGTACATAAACTGTATACTAAATATATACATGCTTACATATATAGTATATGCATATACTACATGACATACATTAAAACAATGAATTTAACAAACTATAAATTTGCGCTGTTACAAACAAATGCCAGTAAACAAACCGACTCATAATTATACTAATGTTAAATAACGACATAATTGTTTTTGTTAAACAAATAAAATTATTTATTAAGTTTAAAATAAATGTTCATTACAAATATACGCAAGGCACACACAAATATTAAATACATATAAAAAGTCATTACCGCAGCGCTCGTGCAAGCTCCCTAACCCACCCGATGAAAAAGAAGGTTCTCAATTCGTCGCGACTATATTTTTTCCATAGAGTGGTTCGCTTTTGATAATAGTTTCTTTTATTGCAAAGAGTATAGCTTGGCAGCCTCGGTAACCGAGTGGTTAGCATTGCGTATTGCCATTCGGAGGGTCAGGGCTTAAATCCTGTTACGACCAACATCCAAAAGTTATAGAAAATTCTAAATATATATGACACATATAGCTTCTAATTGGTCCCATCGACAGTTTGGTAAAAAGAATTTTAACCAGGGGGTAGGTATAATCCCGCATAACACCTTAGCACGTCGACCGGTTATAAAGAAAAAAGCTTTTTAAAGAAAACGAAACCGCCGAAAGAATTTGAAAAGCAAAAAATAATGATTTTTTTATAATGCCTAAATAAATCAATGCTATAGCTAATGTAAGTATACATTATTAACTCAAAGCCGGCGCTTAACAATCAATGAGTAAAGATCGGTAAAATATCTTATAAATCTTATAAAGAAATAACCAAAGAAATTACCATTAAATCGTGCAATCTGCAGCGATAAGCCTGAGTTGTTTTGGTTCAACGCAAACTGGATATGATGGCTTCACCCGAACTACTTTGAATGTTTGTATGGTCAAATGAGAGCTTTAAACATTGTAAAAATTTCTACCAAAGCGGTAACCGTGGTTATAAAAGTGCTGTTTAGTGAGAAATATCAGTGCAAATTTTAGTAGCTTTTTGCCTCACCTAACGTATT